CACCTGCAGCCAAAGTTGTTCGAGCAGTCCCTGGAATCAATCCAACTGCTGGCTCAATACAATTACATCTTCCTACACACTTTACAGGCACAGTGTAGGAGTTAGCATGAACCCTAAATTATCCCCAGAAGACAGTTCTCATTCAGCTGTCCTGTTTTGGGATGAAGTATGGTTAACACTATGGACACAACCTATCCAGTTGACCCCAGTGCTAGAGCATGTTAAAGTTGCTGTCTAGGCATTTGGTTATAAGGCAGTATCTGGACTGATGCTGGATTCAGAAATTAAAGGCTTATCTGCATTTCCTTTGTTCTTGTTGAAATGAAACAGTTTGTTCTGGTGACTGACAGAGAAGGAACTTTATGTTTCATTTGGGCTGGGATTTATCAGAGCTAGTCTTATTTTCCAAAATTCTCTTTGAACATAATTTTTACTGTGTATCATATAGCATTCTGTGTCAGATTAAAGCTGGTATGTCACAGATCTATTTTAGAAAGAAAAATTTCATACTTTCATTAACCTAGAAAATGTCAGAAACTCCTTTGCCATGAAAAATGCATATAAAATAGTGTCAGAAGATCACAGAGAAATCAGCACGTTATTCACTTGTCATAAATGTTCTGGTTCTGAGCAGGGTGATGCCATAGTTACTTGTGAAGTTTCACTTTTTCTTTTTTTTTTTTTTTAATGCAAATAGACTGCAAAACAAGCTCGTGAGCAAAATCAGAAGTGTGATTTTGATGATAGAGAAGAAACTATATAGGATAATGCTATATCTATCTCTATATATATACACTACGATTCTATAGTAAGTCTAACAGTGGTCGGTGTTGGAAATAAAGTATCTTTAGAAGCTTTGTGTTAGTGAGGATTTCAGAAGTTGCACATGTGGATATCCATATCCCTCCTGCTGCCCATCTGCTGAAGGAGATGTGTCCTCAGTGGGGTCTCTCTGTGTCTCTGGAAGGTTTGCAGTACTTCTGTGAGCACTAATACGAGTGGCCTGTCACCAAGGCCCTTGGTGCCTGCTGGTGGCTCCCTCCAATATTCCTCTCATGCCTGGCTATGACTGTTTTGGGGTAGGGGGGCAGCAAGCAAGGGAAATGCAAGTCAGGGTCCCCTGGAAAAACAGGGAGGATATGATCATATATGTAGAGGAAGCAAATATGGGTTAATAAATACCAAGGAAATCTGATTGCAGTTTTTCTTGAGCTTTTATGGGGAAATATCTGTGTCCCTGTGATTATAATATGCATGTATATGTACATATACACAATGATACAGGAGCAGAAAAAAAGAATCCAGTTATTTATTTAGGATTATCAAAATTAATAACATCAGCTTTTCTTAAGACATATGCAATTATTAAATAATGATAGAGTGGAACTTGTAAAGGTTTGCAAAGAAGGTGGAATGTTACCATTCCTCCCTGAAAAACAACATATGAAAGAAACAGTCCCATATAATTTGAAATAGTGGTCTGTAGCAGATGCAAACAAAACTGCCTGTTAAGAAAAAAAGGTTTTCTCATAAGAATAATTTTTCTGTCATAGTATTATGATTTACTTTATTTTATCTATTTCTCCTGCTCAGGTGCTGCTGATATTTCCATGGCACAGCAGGAAGCACCATATAAAGTTATTTTGTCTTCATTTCTTCTCTGAAGTATTTTTATTATATATCAGGTATATGGACTCTGTAAAAACTATAATTACACTTTTCATAAGTTTGTACCATAATTTTTTTTCTTTCATTCTTCTCACACTGGCCCTGGGTATTTGACCTCTTTTTTCTTTAAACTTCTTCCTGCAGAGACATTCAGATCAACTGGAGAATTTTGTACTGCTGCTGGCTTGTTTCTAGGTCTTACAGCTCCATGTAAATGTCATATGCATGACATATTTACATGTGACAGCACAGTAATAGTAGTTACAGAACAATATCTACCTGTAGATAAAATAAACAGGTTTTTTTTGTAAACACCTATGGAACCATTATCTTAGATGTTTTTATCACCTTCCAGGACTGTACTGTACCAGCAATCAATCTCTAGTTTCTAATTGCATGTAAACTTTATTTATGGGTAATTATGGGTAATTATTTCCAGGAATTGGTGCAGACAACAAATATAGATTAGTGGGGGACAGCTATTTAAAAGAATGAAAATGTGTGTTTAATATGTTTCTTCTAAAAGAGACAAACTAAACTGAGATCTACTTCTCAAGAATCATGAAAAGGTAAACAAAAAAGGTTCCAACAAGTATTTTCCTTAGGCTTACAGCAAAGCAACAAAAGATCTTCATCAGACTTAAAAACATAGAAACAAGAAGCCTCCAAATCATTCTCACAAAATCATGATAGATCCCATCTGTAGGTGACTGTACTCTTCTTCTACAGTAAACATCTCTGATGCCCAGTTTCATTGATACAACTTAATTCATGTTTTTTCTCACAATAAATGTGTAGACAATGATCTTTTTATTCATGTGCTTTCAAGAGAGAGAAACCTTTAGCATTAACCTTCTAGTTGCAGTCCCTCAGTTTTCTTCAGGGGTCTTGGGAAGATCTGTAAATAGTAAAAAACTGAATAATGTGTGTACATTGCTGTGGGTTAACTTGACATCTGCCTGACAGATATGAAATAGAGTTGTGTTGAAACCTAAGTCTTTGTCAGGTGGCAGCTGGAGTCAGGCAGGACGCCCTTCCACATCCAGCACCCAATCTGCTTGAGTTTGGGAACAGGGGTATGATGCTCAGACTGCCTGTGGCTGTCCATGGAATATGGCAGTCCACCTTTCTTGCAGATACCTCCTTGTGAACTACATTTATGTCTCTTAATTTGGATCTGAACATAAAAATTTTCACCTTCTTGAATTGAACTTGCAGTTTTGAAACAAAAGAATGAAAAGCAAAATGATAAAGTACAGTGTATTAAGAACGTGGTATCTGTTCCAGGGGTACAAAATTGTGCAATGGATATGAATTTTATTTTACTTAGAGTGAGATTATCAGAACATAATCCACAGACTGGACAACCTCTAGTAGCCCAGACTGTAGACTGATAAAATCCTGTAGGGAGAACTGGGAAACATCTTGCAAAGGATGGCAATTCCTCAGCTCCTGTATATGGCTGTGGAAGGCACTACTTTCTCGTATGTCTTCTTTATCTTTCTCTGCCTATGTCAAGCCGTGTTGATCTACTCTGGAAAAGAAAGAAAACAACTCAGTAATAGCCTTTGTACATATCTCTCTTACTGCTTAAGAAAAGGGGGAGCAGATTAATTACTATGTACCTCACTATGTTAAGTGACTTTTTTTTTTTTGATGAATGAAAACCTCACAATAATAAAAATATGTATGATAGCTTGCTGTAGAATCTCAACAGAGATTTTGATTTAATGACTGGAGAAAGTGGAGGAAAAGACAGTGGGTTAATGCAGCTTGCATTATCAGCTGAGAAAATTGCAAGAACCTGTAGTTCTTTCTTTAATAAGGTGTTCAACCTCCAACTGAACAGCAGAGGGAAATATTTTTTGTGGACCTTGTTTTTTTGAGGTCAATTTTTTTCTCTTCCCTCTTTCCTCTTTCCCCTTTCCCCTTTCCCCTTTCCCCTTTTTTTTTTCCCCTTGATTTTACCCAGGTGGAAGATAGAACCAGGAGAAAATCATTTTGTTAGAAGGAGTATTTTTTTGCAAAGTCCTCTAATAAAGTATAGAGAACAAAAGCACAGACATTATATTATTTACTATAAGTAAGATTTTACCATTGTTTTATATCTGCTGTGTTTCCATATTAATTCTAGTTTAGAACTGAGTAGTTCAGAATCAAGTCTATGACTATTACCTACCAGTCCTTGGAAATTTATCTCCTATGGATTTGTTTTTTCTTTTAGGTTCTGAGTTTTAATTTATAAGTTAGTAAGCTCTGGTTGGAAAAATATTTTATGTGAATGTTTTTGTAATAGCATATGAGATTGAATCAAAGTCTTAGCAGGGAAGCTCACCACTGAACTGTGCAGTCTGTGCCTGCCACAGAGAAGTCAGGGTATTTGAGCAGGTCTAGAAAGATATAAAAGCTGTATTTAGTTGTCCATATGCAATCCTCAAGCAACACATAGGTCGTTGTAGGATGTCAGAGAAGATCTCTCTTGGAGTTGATTTCAGCACAGTTTTTGAATTGCCTTTCCTTGTGGCCCATAAATTCTACATTTTTTATGTCCGCTATCAGTGATCCATTCTTCTCCCCAGGCTTTGTTAACCTCCCCCTAGGTCTGAGACAGCACTTGGACAATAGTACCACCTTTAACTTATCTCAAGTCCCTGCAGGAGTGGTTTACCTTACAGTCCAGGCTCAAGTTACCCACAGAGGCATATCTGAGGGGTAGAGAGAGGCTTTGGTGATCATTGGTGGTGGCAGATACCATCTTTCCCATAGATTGGGGTGATCTTTTTTTGACCAGTGATATGTGTATGAGCAGTTGCTTCTCAATAGTTTGCTGCAGTGGGAATTTTTTGTCCGGATGCACCTAGCAGGATGTGCTAAGCAGATCTCTCCTCTGTCCGACCTGGGGTGGCTGCCAGCCTGTCAGTCCCTTCTGTGCTTTCCCATGGCAAAGTCTTTCTGTGGACTTTACCGTGTTCGAGACAAGCAACTGTGCTTTTTATGTCCTTGCAGAACTGAATGAAGAAGTTAAGGATGATGTGGAGCAACACTTCTGGTGGTAAACTATGTTGTATCATATAATTTCTTGTTTGCCACAGATTTTAAAAAAGCATATAAGCAAATGGTATTCTGACAGGTATGCTTTTACTTGGTAAGTTACAAATATGCAGTGTTTTGGCTTCCATGTTTTAACTTTTGCTTACATGTTCTTTTGATAAAAAATGTTTCAACATCACTTTCTAGTATGAGTTCTAAATATTTGTATATTGCAAATATTAATTTGGTGCACCATATCCCCAAGCTCAATTACTGATTTTATCTTTATTTTCATGTTGCAGAGACAAAATATTAGAATGGCATAAAATATGGCCCAGTTCTACTACAAAAGAAGCGTCAATGCTCCCTACAGAGATCGTATCCCTCTTCGCATTGTACGGGCAGAATCCGAACTGTCTCATTCAGAGAAAGCCTATCTGAATGCCGTGGAGAAAGGAGATTATGCCAGTGTAAAGAAAGCTTTGGAGGAGGCAGAAATTTATTTCAAGATCAATATTAACTGCATTGATCCCCTGGGAAGAACTGCACTCCTTATTGCAATTGAAAATGAGAACCTTGAGCTCATTGAGCTGCTCTTAAGTTTTAACGTGTATGTGGGAGATGCTCTGTTGCATGCCATACGGAAGGAGGTGGTTGGGGCCGTGGAGCTGCTGTTAAATCACAAGAAGCCCAGTGGAGAGAAGCAGGTATGTGCAGGATTTTCTGAGTTTTTGGTCTGGTCTAATGTAGAGAGGAATTGTGTCTAATGTAGAGAGGAATTGTGCAAAGGGGGTAAGAAAAACAAAATATCATCCTTGCGCACAGTACTTAAAATCACAAAATCAATTACTGTGATGCTGAATGCATTGTATCCAACTATGTTTATACATCATACAGTCAAAAATTGTTTTGAGTCAGAAGAACCATCAAGTCTAGCTCCAACATCCTGCCATGAGCAGAGATATCTTTCCTTAAACAAGGTTACTCAAAGCCCCATCCAACCTGACTTTGAACACTTCCAGGGATAGGACACCCTGAACTTCTCTGGGCAGCCTGATCCTGTGTCTCACCACCCTAACTGTAAAAAAATGTCTTCCTTCTGCCCATTCTAAACCTACCCTCTTTGACTTTAAAACTATTGCCTCTTTTCATGTCACCACAGGCCTTGGTTTAAAGTCTCTCTTTAAACTCCCCTCTGTATAATGATAACATTATTCCTGCAGATACGGCTGGGAAATCTTTAATCATTCAAAGAAACAAATCGTTCAAAAGAGAATAGTAGTGTTAATATGTAGTCCATTTGAATTAATTATGAATCTCCCATAAAAGTCAAATAATGTTTTAACCCATCCATGGAGAGGTCATCATATCCCAACTCAGAAAGGCAAAACTGGTGGACATGACCTAGTTGATCCATCCTATGAAATACAACTTAAAAAGGTGCAAACTTCCCTCCCTTTCTCCCTGTTTTCTTTCAAAGGAAAAAATCATTCATTTCAAAAAATATAGTCTAATTTATGATCTGATACCTACTCTGCTTTCCCTTTAACTGCTTTGAGACATCTCTGGAAAGTATCTAGCCTCTTGCAAATCTTTCTCATTTTAAGAAAATAGTGGAGACAGGATGACATAGCCCATAAATTCTGATATTCCTAGGACTCTTCTAGGAAGAAAAACCTTAAAAATAGTTATACTACTGTACTCTATTTTCATCAATTTCAACTTTTGTGTGTTATAGGTACTCTATTACTGTATTTCAATGAATAGTATGTTGAAATTATTACAGCTCTTTTACAGATAATGCATATAATATACTTTAATTACAGTATAATGTACTTGGCATGGATAGAATTGCAGATAATAGGTAAAAAGTTATAATTTTTGCTGATAAAATAACATGAATTCTATGCTTCTTTGTTATGGAAAGAATGAGATATACTAGATCTTTCTGCATATGTGTGTGCCTGTCTTCTCTTCTAAATAGTAAAAGCAGAGCTCCTGTAAAATGACAACAGATTTATGTCAGAGAAAGGGAAGAACACTATATTCACATGATGTTTGTCTCATTTCATCATTCCTCAACTGATAGTTCAGATGAGAATACAGTGCATAGGAATTTCTCAGTGCAGTGTACCAGGACCCTGAAGGATCAGTGGACAGCCCCATCCCAAACCAGTTTAAACTCCTGTGTCTCCATTATGCAGCCTCTATAGTGGAAGTTGCCATTTGCAGAGCAGAGTTCATGCCATCCAAAGGTTTGTCTTTTCTCTGGTCTGGCTCCCTGGGCTCCCTGAAGCAATGGAGAAAAACGGAGATCCCTGGAGAGCTCCTCCTGCTGTCTTTATCAGTTATTTGTTTCAAGACAGCATAAATCACTTTTTGGCCTTGGGAGTCTACAAATTCACCTTACAACAGCTGCCTAAATTTCAGGCTGCTCTTCAGACTTTCAGGACTACTTTTTTGTATGTGCCACAGCTGCTGTAATGAAAATCCTTGAATACAAACGGTAAAACTTGTGTTAGGCGAGCTTCACGCTATAGCAGACAAAAGATAAGCTTACTTTTTGTTTCAATACTACCATGTTAAATTATCCACCAACTGCTTTGCTCAAATCTAGAGGATCCTTCTCTGTGCTGAAGATTGAGCATGTTGTTTCAGTGCCAGAGTCCACTGCTGGCTGGTGTGAAGAGTGCTGCTCCTGCTATGCTTTCTTGGTTTCCCTGGTTGCACTTGGGGTCTTACTGTAAAGTGTGAAGACTTTACAGTCTTCATTTTGCATTTGAACAGAGACATCTCCTTTTGTGTTTGTAGAAGGCTAGGTTTGCCCAGTGCCACTGCAAGCACAGCTTGCAAGGCAGTGCTTATAAAATGGCTTTTTAACTAATAGGTTGCTTACACATGTTCGCTGTTGCATGCACTGGGGATCCCAACAACAATTAAGCTTCTGTGGGTGTCAAGTGTGTAATAATACACTGATAATCACACTGGTTTGTTTTTAGGAACATGGCATGCTGAAGAGAGTGTAAATGCCAATAGCATTTTTGCAGTAATGCCACAATGAATGTAGTATAATAAAAAAGTACCTTCTGGCCAAAAAAATCATTCCAATGCGATAGAGATATAAAATCTGAATACTCAGAATTATATACTTTTATTATGTATTTTTTCTTCCTTCAAGTCATTTTGCCCCTTCAAGTTTCTTTTGAAACTATTTCAAACTAAAATTCTACTTTTTGATTACTGGTATTTGTAAATATTTGCTATATTGTTTAGACAATGAGTCATTTTCAGACTGCTTTTACTAACATGATATCTTTTTCTGTTTGGTTTTCCTTCTTGGATTAAATCTGGTCATGTGTGGTAAAATCCTGGCCCGTTGAAGTTAGTGGGAGTTTTGCCATTGATTCAGTGAGGTCGACCCTTTTTTTAAGAAACAGTTTCCCAAAAATTTAATTAGTGATAGAAGTTATGAACATTGAATTTCTGGAAAAAACCTGATATGATTCACAAGTAAATGAATAAGCTCTCACTATTTTTTTTAATATTCATGAGATAATATCCTATGCATGATGCATAGCTAATTTCAGCTTCACCTCATACAATAATGTAGCTATATTTGTAAAACAAAATAATTTTTAAACATAGAATTTCTTATATAATTCAAATTCTCATTGTCAATGTCAGAAAGCTAGGAGAAAATGTCCACTTGTATCAACAGAAAGCTACAACTCTTTAGGATTGTTGAAATGTATCTTTGAAAAGAACTGGTTATCCTCCAAAATTTAATGCTTTAAACATTTTAATGTTGCTAAAGAAAAGGAGAAAAATGTAACAATATGTTCATTCTGACCAGAAATCAATGCATTTAATTAAAGTAATCTGGTTTTGCATTTTTGGAAAAGTTTTATAACCAACATCTCCAAATTAGGATATGCCACTGATCTTAATTTACACTTTCTCCTAAAAGAAACAAAAAAACACAAAAGAAAAACCAAACAAAACCCCCGCCAAAACAAAACAGACAAACCCCCTCCTCCAATAACAAAAAACCCTAACAAAACCCCAGCAAAACAAACAAACAAACCCCACCCCCCCAATCCTCAAACTATATAACAATGTTCAGATCTTGTTAAAGTTAGACCTAAACTCTCTATTCTATTGATCATACAGCCGTGGGGCTCTACCTAGTAGCCATACGTGATGACCTCAGCGTTTCAAAGACCGCATTGGTTACAATGGTTTTAACCTAATTACCAATATATGGATACATCTGGTGCCACCTGGTGACTACAGATGAGGCATGTTGGTTTAACAGTTCTGAATTGTCTTTGGACTCCTTCTGTTTCTCAGGTTTTTGAGCGAGCTTTTTGCACTATACATTAATCCAACTCAGGAGAAGGGTTTTTTTGGCACTGGCATTATATTCTTTATATTTTCTATACTTTTTTAGCTGTACCAGCTGCTAGAGCACAAGTAAAAGAGAATAGCACAAATTAATGTGAATGAGTTTAGGAAACTTGTCCAAGTACTTTTAAATTACCATTCTTCAAAACCATATGTCCTGAATTATCTGCCAAGTCACTTGTTGCTTACCCTGATGGATAGCTGAATGCCAAATTAAGAGGGAAAAAAAAAGTAGTTCTTTTAAATTTAGTATCTGCAGAAAACATTTTTGTCTTGTTAAATTGCATGCAGCATCCACAGATGGGCTGGGGGTTAGGCAGCATTAAAAATTAATACCTTTATCTAAATCATAGTGTGCTCTGTTGCTTAGGGAAATCAGGTATTGATCATTAGCTGGGGGGTTGACCATCTAGATATTTCTGTATATTCAGGGAAGACTGAAGGAGAAGAGTAGCTGCCTTCTAAAGATGCTGCAAATCACATAAGTAAAGCTGAAATCTCAGTTACTAGACTTGAATCCATGTAGCATTGTATTAGCTGACAGACTTGCTTTAGGGCTTGGAAACCTGACTGCAGTGCTTGCAGCATTGTCTGACTAGCAGAAAAAAAGCACATGAAAGTGCTTTTATGCCTTCTGTTCACTATTATATGTCAGTCTTGTGGTACTTGAGGGTATTTTTATTGGTTGGACACTCTAGGGATAGATGTGCAGATGTGTGAACCAAATACTGAGCTAACGCCAGACTGGCATTTGCAAATACAAGAGAATTGCTAGACGAAGGAGAACTTTGGGACAGAGAGGGTTGTGATCACTGTGATATGTGCCTGGCTGACATGTAGAGAAAGGTAGAAATCACTGGCATAGTGCTGGAAGTGGGAAGCTGAAAGTAAACTATATCCACATGCTGCAACACTCAGAAACCTTTTAATCTCCCAGGACAAGCAGTAAAGTCATGTGACTTTACCACTTTAGTTTTTTTGTATAAACTACTTTATGCAAAAGCCCTGCCTCTACTTACTCTGCCAAAGTCAAGCCGGGAAGCCAGGCTTCTGCTTGTCAATGTGTCAGCCTCTGAAAATGAAAGTCCATGGCATTGACAATGTCTTTTTGTTGGGTTTCATGGATTTTCCTGGCAATTTCTCAAAGGCCCAAGAAAGGGTGAGTTCAATCTGCCATCTAAATATTTGGGAAAAAATATTTATTAAAAGAGACAAAACCCAAAACCTCTGAAAGTTTAAGTATAGAGGCACTTCTGAAGGACTGAAAGATTCAGCATTTAGGTTACTGTTTTCTCTTCAGACA